CCCCCCCGCTGCTGTGTGACTCCTGCCCCTCTCTTTGGCTCTATGTTGGCTTTCAATCTTGATTGCTGCTGCCGCCGCCGCTCACGAACGTCATCGTCTGGCTCACCCCGTTACATTTACATCTGTTGCTGTTGCTGTTCCATCCGCGAAGCTCCGCTGTCTCACCTCTCACTTTGCTCGACTTTTTGTTGTCTGCTGCCGCTAATGCTTCTACGGCCGGTTATAACGCTGTCGCTGCTGCGCCACCGGCGGCGGCATTCGAAAACAACAACAACAACGAACAACTCCACGGCATGGCATCGCTGTGGAAAAAACAACGAACGAAACAATCGCTGGAAGCAGCTGCTAAGCAAGCTCGAGACGCAGTACCAAGGGGAAGACGTGATCATCGTAGCCCCCGACTCCGACTGCCTGTCCGTACTGCAGTCCTTCGTGCTAGGAGAAGACATGGGCAAGCACAGCAAGTACGGTCATGGTGCCCCCCACACACACACCCCCACCCTCGCCCTGCTGTCCGGCGCGTTTGACCGCATAAGAAGAGATGCATACGGTAGAGCGCCCCTCGTTTCACGTTGAAATGCTTGCATAGGCGGCGTAAGTCGCGTCCTCCGTGTAGAATCCCGTCCTGTTGCTCAACGTGCTTCTTGAAGTTAGTTGCGGACCTTGCATCTTCGTCCACCCCCACACGACGCTTAGCATCAATACCGAAATATATCGCTTCCCCAGGATGGCGAGCAATGCAACAGCCTCGCCCCCATTCCCCTCCCCCTTTCGGCCTTTGATGGTTCTACAAGGGTCCCTCCCGGACGAAAGAGCCATGATTTTCTTAACCCCCCCCCCTCGGTACATAGCTATACTGAGGTGTTAGGAGTGGGCTGAAAAGGCGGGAGGTGACATCGATACGATAGAAAGGATAGGGAAACGTTGTCGAGTCACCATTGGCACGGTAGGAAAGGTAACGATTGGCCATCGGTGATCGGTGCTGTGGAAACCATGCTAGAGAACGCGTCGTCAATGGTCTGACAACTAAGACTTGCAACGCATGAGTATACCCCCCCCCCCCCC